AATATTTTTCAATTAATCCACTCCTATAAAATGATGTTTTTGATGCCACTTTATGGTAGTTTCCTTCAACAGAAATTCAGATTCTGGACTAAAATAAAGCTAACCATATTCAAGTTAGCTTTATATGTCTGATTTCAGGTACATGGATAAGGCTGGATTTTACTTAATATATTAGCCAAGCTTTTTTATGAAAACTGTAGACAATAATCTAATACAAAATTAGAAGACTTGCATTTGGAACTGTGGATGTACGTTTCATTTCTATTTAAATTTAGCACAGAACCAAATGTCAATGTAAACTCATCTAAACTATACATTAATACTAATTTTTATTTAAAGGCATATTTCTTGACTGGAAATTGCAGAATCATATTTCTCATCTTCATCATGCATTAATACTAATGGGTTATACACAGACACTTTTGCTCACTAGTAAAAAGATCAGGTAAACAAACTGATAAGATGTGAGGTTATATATTAAAGAAATTGTTTTACTGAATGTTGCTTACTGGACTGAATAACTGCTATATGCAGCATTGGATTGCATGCATACAACCCTGCAGTCTGGGCTTTCGGTGTGCTGAGGAAGGCACCATATTTCTGCCTGATCTTAGGTCATATATCCACAGTACATCTATATGCTCTGCTCAGCAACCAGGTATCATTGCAGCTACTTAGCCATTCTCCTGTCTTTATAACGAGGAAGAATATTCCTTTCTAAATAAGAGGAGAATCTCCTTTCCTGCAACCTCAGTCTCATCTATGAACTTCTAAAAACAGCTTAAACCAAAAAATTGTTTCCACAAAATAAGGGCAATAATGACTTGCGTTCCAGAAGGAGAGAATGCAACTACTGGTGTAGGGAGATAGAAAGTAGCCATATCAGATAAGACCTGACTTGAACTTAGGATCTTTTGCTTAGGATCAGATATACATTTGCTACCTTACGTTGAATATATTATTAATCAGGGGACCAAATTTACACCCCAGGATACTGGTGTCTTTTATCTATAAAATAGATGCAGAATGAGCTTCCCACAAAAAACCCTGTCCATCCATATAGACCTGGTGTGAGCTCTGCTATAGAAAAGAAGGTGTTTCCGGTAAACCAAATTCAAGAGGTTCAGATGAAGTAATGTTATCACTATATTGTCTCCACTAGACCTTTTTTGTCCCTTGCTCCTCATTGTTCTTCTCACACAGCCTCTCCAATACTCTTCAGTCTTAATTTCCTGTACCATACATATCAATTCACAATCTGTTCAATTCAGTTCCCCTTGCCAAGACATGATAGGTCCGGTAGACTCCAAAACACTGCTGTACCTACTCAGTCTTTTAAATTCTATCGAGACGTTCATTTTCCTTTTTACTCAGGTAGCCTACTTCCACTAACTCTGAGTTGTGCACCACAGCCTGGGCTGGGGCATATGAAGCTGAAGATTATGTGCAATTGAAAATGGAGTTATCAGTCCTAGTCAGGACAAACAATAACTTTGCTTGTAAAATAAGGATTAGGAAGGGGTAATGGCCACAGGCAGGCTTGAGTGGTGTGCTATTGGTCTGCTGGAAGGGAAGGGATTAAGCCACAATTGTAAACTAAAGAGTGGCTGGGGCAAGTGATAAATACAACAGTAGATAACACCCAGAAGCTGATTTTAACTCTTTAAAATCTCGTTATCTAAAAGTATTGAAAGGGAATTGATAAAAAACATTTTTTTGGACATTATCAAAATAGATATTGACAGATGACAGTCAACATTCTCACACTCTGGCAAATGTGCTATTATTTACTACGTTCTGCATCATGTTGCATGGTTCTGATTAATATAATATTCAGTGGGCAGTTAGTGCAATTAGAACTTTTGTAATTATTTCTATTTGCTGGGGATCTCCAAGGTAAAAGAGTGATTGGATAAAGTTGTAGAATTGATGACAATGAGAGAAGGATATGCTGAAAAATGGATTATCTGGTGGCGTGTTAGTGGTTGAGTTTTTGTGATACTGATTAGTGGCAAGAAATGTTATGAGTGTTATAGGAGTCTATACCTTACTCTGGACAAAATACATATAAAAGGTATGTCTACATCACATTGTCAGTATATCTTGGCATGCCTTCCCCCACCTCTGCTTGAAGTTGTTCCCCTTTCCAAGCACCAAACCTAGAAAATGCAGCAGTGAAACTCTTCCAGGGGCATCCCCAGTGGCTGCTTTCTGGGATTCTGAAGATCGAAATCTCAAAAGCAGTCAGGAGAAACACTTTATACATGTAAATTAATTTGACTCATTAAATAAAGTTAGTAGTTTAGTAACTGTAATCTTGTACAACTTAACAAAATAGAAATGTAATAAAAATGAAGTATTGACAGATAATACAAACTATGGTATCATTCACTGTTGTTCTAATTCCTCAGTTTTCCCTAATCATCCAGTTCTGATAATTGGTTACCATGGGATAATTTGCCACTATTTGCATTCCCTTGGAAATGGAGAATTAATTAGAGTTTACTATACAACACTTTTTCAAAGAAATCAAAGTATGTTTTGGAAAAGAAATCAAAGTATATTTGATAACTTGATCCTAAACGGATTGTTAATAATTATATTGTACATCCCTATGCTATGTAAATATATGCTGACTATATGCTGATATATCAACAACTAAGATTCAAGTTCTCGCTTTTCCTCTCCCTCTATATAGACACCACTTGCTACATTCATTTTTCTTTTTCTCCCTTTCTTTTTAATCTCTCAATATCTATTCCCCTAAACTATATTTTACATCAGCAGCTTTAAGTGTCCATATTCTATGAGTCAAATAAATCTTTCAGGAAAGTCTATGAATATTGTACAATATATCATGTAAATTATGACACAATATATTCTACTTTGCTCCTGATGGATGGCTTTTCAGTATGCTGTTCACAGATGCCATTGACAGCTAATGGGTATTCATACTGCTTGAACAGTTCTGTCATCATGCTGCTATTTTGACTTTCCTTAATTCTGTGGAAGTGTCATTAAGTCTTTTCCAGTATTTTCTTTCTATTTCTATCAGTGATTGTCACCTTTCTTGGACTTACTGGGGCCTCACTGGGCTCAACTTTATATTCAGCATCATTTGTCTTCTTTTTTACCCTCCTGCAGTAGATGTCAATAAAAACTTGGTATCTGCCATCCACATTTGTTAATTTTATAACAATATTTCCCATGCTGAGCAGAGGACATAATGGATGGACTATGATAAAGACTAAGGCAATTAAGTGGTAAACAGATGGGATGAAATCCTGGCTCTACTAAAATTAATAACAAAACAAAAACACCCATTGATGTAGATTGTTTTCTGTTGCCTTTCTATTTCCAGAATATTTCTTTTAGAAACAGACCCAAACTAAGAATGCATCTCTGAGTTTTGCATCTATGTGATGACTAGAAACATAACCCTCGATCAGAATGTTCTCAAACATGGAATTTTAAAATACAGATCTGAACCTAAACTTTCCAAACTTTGTACCATTTTTAACTATTGTATTTTTTGCATATAGCATGTCCCCTTTTATAGTATGAAAGCTATTTTTGGAAGGCCCCACAAAGACAAAAAGCAAAAGAAAAAACACATACTTACAAGTGAGTGATTAAGGTCCGGGGTTTCTGGGGCTAGGGGAGCATGCTGGGGCTGGGACCCAATCCTGAATGCCAGCACTGGAACCACAAGGCAGAATATGATTCAGCATGCTGGTGCAGGGGCCATGTGGTGAGTCCAGTACCCTGTCTAGGCTCCAGACCCACATTCTGGATCCAGAGATGCCAAGTTTGAGACTGTGCTCTGGCTCTGGGGTTCTGAATTGTGTTGGACCTGGCCTGTGGCTTTAGAGCCAGAGCAAAATCCTGGGCTCACTGTGCAGCCCCAGCATGCTGATGCTGGGGCCATGCGGCCCCATGCTGGGTCTGAAATTACAGCCAGTCTGGACCCTGTGTAAGACCAGGACTACATGCCCCAGAGCCAGTGGTTCCACATGCATTGTGCCAGGTCCACCCCACCACATGCCTCTGGAGCCAGTACATGGGGTTGGACCTGGCACTCTGGCTAAGGACCAGCCCCATGAGCGAGAAATTGGGTCATGGGGGCCAGGAGGGAGTGGTAGCAGTGTTAATTGCTATGGCTTCCAGAGCTGCAGTGATTAACCTGCCACTGTTCCATTTCCCCTCCCTCCACCAAATTTTTGGAGCTATGGTACTCTTTTCCTAGAATATAATATACATCCTGTATTTCCCCAGTTGGTTTTGTGAGAAAAGGTGTGGGTTATAGGTGAGAAAATATGGAAATTAAGAGAGAAGGGACTGTGTTGTGAACTCAGATTTTGGATTTAAGATTCTGATTCAAGCTCCCATATACTTTTTTTTTTTTGCAATTCAGACATGCCTTCCAATTCCCTTTACTGGTTCAGTGTTTCTTCAAATATAAAAATGGCTTGCAATTAAACCAATAGCTGCTGTAAAATGTAGCACTTCTGTATGCAATATGAAAATCTTCACTTTTTCTCCTGGCTACACAGCTAAAATGACCTACTTCTTCCTGCCTCCTGGCATATTCCGCTTTTCACTGACATTACTGGTTCCATTGCCTGCACTTCCAGTCCAGCCTCCTAACTGGCTCTATAACATTGGTCCTCTCAGGTATGAGACAGGTCAAGGCTGTCCAACTTCAAAGCAGCTGGGTAGCACACCAGTGGAGTCTGCACACAATGTGGACTGCAACAGAGTGGACCATGGCCCTATGCCACATGACATGGATAATTCCCCCAACAGCTGCTGCACTGTTCTGCATGACCGCTCCCTCTCTACCACTACACCATCCTGTGTGGGCCTTTTTCCCTGTCCCTGATGTGCTGTAGCCTGGGCTCCACTCGGTGCCCCAGCTACAGACTCTGCCAGCACTGTGCACCATGCTGTCCCACCCAGCCCTGCCTCCTTAGGCAACAGCAAGAATCAGAAGGCTGTAGGCCTTGCTGGAGCATTGATCAATATATGCTGTTCACACAAAGGCTTTGCTAAAGCATTGGCCAGAGTCGGCCTTACTGCATGAACTCCTCACATAAAAAAACTTGGCATGTGGACCAGATGTGCACTCCTGCCAAGAGATGGGAGGGAGAGATGATGGTACAAGGTAGGATAGTCCAGTACCAGGGTGATAAGGCTGAAATGGTAACACCTAGGTCAGAATGTGAAACAAGCCCCTGGTACAGGATGGTCTAAGATGCAGATGGAGTGCAATATGTAATTTATTTGATCAGTGTATAAAAGGTAAATTGGAAAGGAGGGAAACTTTGTAGGGAGTCTGGGGGAGCCTGCGTGGTGTTGTACTGACTCCTTGTCACAGGTACAAATGCCTCAGCTCCTTGTCTGGTGTACTTGTTAGGCCAAAATGTGTGCTGGTAGACAATAAATCTGGGTGTGCTCGTAGACAATAAATCTGGCCAGATTTTTACCACCAAATGGAGCCTATGGTCATTCTTTAAGACAAGATTAGTGTTGGGATCTTTGGACTGCAACTTTGCTGACACCACAGTTCCTGAGACTAACAACACTGGATGTAGACAACAGCAACAACAATACTGAAAACCCCAGACAACTAGGAAAGGGAGACCCGAGATCTTGGCTGGTGCTGCATCTGGGACAACAGAGGGAGTGGTATCTGGGTGGGAGCCTGGGGGTTGCATGTTAATTTTAACTTTGTCCAGTTCTGGGCACTGCACTTCAACAAGGACATGGAAAAGCTTGAGAGAGTCCAGAGAAGAGCCACCTGTATGATCAGAGACTTGCAAGCCATACGAGGAAAAGCTGAGAGACTTGGGTCATTTCAGCCTAAAAAGAGAAGGCTGAGAGGGGACTTGGTAGCAGCTTACCACTACATCACGGGAATACATCAAGGGCTCAGTAAACAACTGTTCACCAGGCACCACTGGGGAAAACCCGGAGTAATGGCCACAAACTCCTGGAAGACCATTTCAGGCTTAACACTAGGAAAAACTTCTTCACAGTCAGGGTGTCCAGATTGTGAAATAAGCTTTCTCCAGAGGTGGTGCAATCACCTACCCTGGAAATCTTCAAGAAAAGACTGGACAGTCACATTGCTGGGGTCACCTGACTCCCAATTATCTTTCCTGCTTGGTGCAGGGGGCTGGACCC